TAAATTTTACTTATTTATATATCCATGCAACATAAATTGAAGTAGGGAGCTGTCACATTTTGAAAGCTAAAACACAAGGACATGATATATAAAAATTCTATAAATTAAGAAAACTTGAGATAACCGTAGTTTAATTCATAAGTCAATATAAATAAAAGTGTTTGTACTTCACAAGCAATTTTTAAATTACATTTTTTTTATCAAATCATAATGATAAATTATTATTTGATTTAGATAAATTTAAATATAATATTCAATTGCATCAATCTTTGTATCATTTGAATTAAATTGATAATTCAAGTTTTTTCAATTTTTTCAAGTTTATTTTTTTTAAAATAAAATATGTCAAATAAAATACTAAAAATAGAATAAATATAGTACAAAAAATTATCAAAGTATTAAACTAATATATCATTACAAAATCCAAATGATATAAATCAATACACGTATGTAAATCTAATAGGATAGACAATAAATTGTTACTTCTCTTAATTTTTATCCACTCAAATTTTTCAATTTTTTATGTTATATTCTTTTCTATCTTATTTATATATAAAAAAGACTATTATTAATATTTTTTAATATATATATATATAAACTTATTTTAAATACATTAATTATTAAAAATTTTAAAATTTTTATTTATTAAAATATTTATATAAACAAGATATTAATATATTATTTATATAAGTGGATTAATTCATTCATTTAATATACAAGTTATTAATTTAACCACTTATTACCATACACCGTAAATTTATAATACAAAAATGCTCTTTTTTAATTTTAATAAATTAGTTATTTATTTTTTATAAAAAAGAATAAAAAGAGTATTTTATTTATTTTACTTTTTTTTTAATAAAATTATTGTGAACTTAAAGCACAAAATTGTACAACAAAAAAATAAATGATAAAATAAAAAAATTATTTTGGTATAATAATTTTTAAAAAGTTAAAATTATTTAATCTATAATTATCATTTATTTGTATATTAATTTTTTATTTAAAAATTATTTTTTAATTCATATATTAATATTTTATGACATTTTAACTTTTACTGTTATAATATTATAAAAAAAAGTGCAATTTACTAAATAGTAACTATTGTTATTCAACAAAAGGTATTAAAATACCTGTACAGATACTAAAATATGAGTTTTAAATATAAATATTAATTTATAAATAAATATTAACTACAAAAATTAAATATTATTTTCTAAAATTATATTTATATAAATACGAGTGATACAATAATTTTACAAATTAAATTATATATATATATATACATAAAATTTTGATTTAAATTTAATTAAATTAATTTTTAAAAGCTGAATGTAAATTCAACTACTTTACAATTTTTGTTTTTAAATATAAATTTCAAAATAAAACTTGTTCGATTAAAATTAAATTAATTTTAATTTAATTTTTAAATAATTTTACCTTAATTTTTAAAACTTAAAAAAGTTAATTTTATTTTTTTATTTTTAATAATAAAATAAATCTTTCAACTTTTGTGTTTTTTAAATTACATAACAATAATCATAATCACTGCTATTTTTATTATTGTCACTAGTTAACTGAAATTACTATCACAAATATCCTTCATCAATAATCATTGTTGTTACAACACTTTCTTTCATTTGTTATTATCTGTCATTTTTAATATTATTATCAATATCTTTGTTATTGTTACATTCACATCTATCGTCGTTCATGCTATTATTATTATTATCATTGTTATCACTATTAATATTTTTATTAAGTTATTATTACTATCATTGATATAGTTGTTACAATCACACTTACTCTTTTATAGTTATTATCAATATTTTTATCATTATGTACAAGTTTATAATTATTATTATTGTCACCCTCCATTTATCTTATTCCTGTCTTTTTTATCATTACTTAACCAAATAAGTTTACTTTAAATAGTAAAATATAATTTATGTTAAAGTCAAGCATGATTAGATAAGAATGAAAAAGTTAAACAACATATAAATAAAAAAGATTCAAGGTTTAATAATATTAAATTTTTTGAAATATTTAATAGTATTAAATCTTTTGAGATATTAAACTATGCTAGTATCTTATGATCCATTAAAAAAGACTATACTAGTTAATCTAAACAAATTATTTATCGAAATATGACCATTTTATCTCTTTGAAATGTTCTTAAATGGTAAGATTTATAACAACTTTATTTGCTAAAAACATGATAAAACTTCACACACTTCCTAAACTTATTTTCAATAATTATGACCCTTTATTTACAAGTGTTGTAAGGAATAAATTTGAAGACGTTTTCTTCCTTCACTCGAAAATTAATTAGCAAATAAACGATGACTTATTGCTTGGAGTCATACTTATGATGCTTTGTATCTAAATAGCCGAAAACATAGCCTTTTGGTTGTTTTGAGCAAAAATATGGTATATATAATTAATGCAGGCTCCCAATCCCAAATAGGTAGTCTAATGCAGAAAATTTTCTATTAGAACGTGATTTTTAGAAGGAGAAATAAGAACAGAAGTATTGGCTTGTGTGTTAAGAAATAAAATGGATCACTGTAACAACTCAAACATCATTTATCCAAGGCCTAATATTATGACCATAATTAAGACAATAATTTTCTATTTGTGAATGGTTTTTCTTTTCAAATGTTAGTAGAGTATGGATAGCTTTGTTATAAATTGAGGCTACCACTTACGTTTAAAGTGCAGCCAATATTCCATGTTTTCCAATTCAATAAAGTGATCGGCTTATATGTTGCAAAACATAATGGTAGAGATATTAGGACAAATAATGCACTTTTAAGGATAGATATTAAGAGTATGTTTGTTTTTATTTTTAAAAAGAATTTTTAAAAAAAATAAAAATACACTTATTTTTAGTTTTTAAAAGAGAAAACTCTTTTTAAATATCAAAACAAATATATTCTAAGATTGTAGTTTTCTTTTTCCATATTTTATTTATCTATTCATGTGATTGATATGTTTAAATTATCAACTATATTTTCAATTTAGACATGATTGAGTAGTTTTTTATTCTAAGAATTGGGAATAAATCAAATTAAAAATATAATATTTTAAATTTTTTTACAAGTCAATAAAAAATTAGGCCAATTTTTATTTTAACAAAATAAGTCGATTTGCAGGTCAATCGAAAAATAGTCATATAAAATTAGAGTTTGAATATTAGATTGATGATCCAATTAAATTTAGGCTTTTTATTTCGATCTGTTTAGGCCCAATTTATATGGGCTCGAGGCAGGCGAGCCCGTAGAGCAGGTACAACCTGCATTATTTTTTTAAGTGAATTTTTTTTTTAAAGTAATAATTTATTTTATATTAGAATTTATCAACATAATTAATATTTGATTTTAAATTATGATAATAAGAATGATGATGATGATGAGGAAGACATTGCAATTAAAATTACAAAACTTTCTCACAGAAGTTAAATAATTGAGAGTCTAATTAGAATATTTCGGATTACTTAGTTTATTTTAATTTTTTTAGATGAAGTGAGTTTGATGATATTTGATGTTTTCAATTTCAATTTTCTTAAAATATATTATTGATGTAAATTTTTATATTTAATGCATATTAAAATAAGTTTTCTTTTCATAAAACAAGGCTTGCATTAATCTGCTACCTATGAAAAGTTACGTTTGGACTATCATTTTAAAGGGTTAAATTAATTTGGGTTTTTTGAATGGCTGAAACTGTATCAAAATTTTCAATTTTAATCAAATCAAATTTGAAATTAAAATAGATAACTGATATTTGAAATAATAAAAATTAATTAAAAAATAAACGTTTAAGGTAGGAAAAATATATGATATATGAAAATAAGAATAAATTTTAAAAATAATTTTATTTAAGAATTAAAACATAAATTTAATAAACAAAGATACATTATTTACAGGTAAAAGAAAGGGGTGGTAGATTCACAGCCCAAAATAACTAAACAACAGGATTGTTCACAGTAAAGGGTGTCTATCCTATGCAGACCCATGATCTTCTATAATTATATTTAACTATACCGTTGAATAGATACAACAGAGGTACTAGTGTTCACAAATTGGAAGATAGAGATATTGCTCTTGATGAGCTAGCAAATTCTTTAATGAACAGAGAGTTCTAGTAGGCTTGGATTTAAAGGATTCTAATTTCCAATTTTAAAAATGGTGAGCAATTATTCATTGTCTCAATAATCTTGCAAGCTCATTGCTTGTTTAATACTTACTTCCTTGAAGCTAGGATGTGTCACAGTCCAAGCTGTATAATTGGAAATGGCACTGAAATGATGATGCCATGTTAATGATCCTGATGAATTTTGAAGTTGGAGAGTTGAGCTGATTTATAGCGGTTCAAATTGGATAGAGTTTTTAATAAATATTTATAAGAGAAGAAAATAAGTAATAAAATAAATCAATAAAAAATAATTAACAGATATACATTTTTTAGGACCTTTTTCTCATCCATCTGCTTTTAAAGCTATTGAACATTATTTGTTGATTTTAATTTACAAAATAAGTTCGATTATTCTATCTCTTTATTTAAATGCTCGTTAAAGTGCTACTTTCTTAAATGGAATATTACTGTAACAATAGAGACAGGGTGTGGATAATACACAGAAGAATCTGATATACAAAGAGAAAATCATGCTGCTACTGTGATGAGTGTGTATGACTATAAATTTGCTAAAATCTGAATCTTTTCCTTCATTCCCTTGAAATTGTTATAGCAACAATGGATACAATCTGTTGGTGATATTGAAAATTATGATTGTCTTCATAAATCTTAAGTATAGACTAAATCATGCTTAGTAGAAATAACACCAATGCATTAACCTTCTCTTTGTTATATACAACCAAGCATAGTTAACAAGCAGAAAAATAACTACAAGCACAAAGACACAGAAGAAAAAACTTTCCCTTTCTTACAAGCAAACTTGCTCTATGTTACACATTGCTACCATTTCCCATTATGTTGCTGCATTTTCTTGTGCAACTTTTCATTGTATTCCTAGAGCTTGGATTCTCTTAACCAGTGACAAAGAACAAGCATTTCTTAGTCTCCATTCTTCCATGCTCTCCATGCTCTCCTCCATGATTAATTTGTCATTGCCATCAAGAATGCTTACAATTTGTCTAGTGCTTGGTCTTAATGTCGGGTCAGAACGGGTGCATGCAACTCCTAACTTTACCAATCTCATTAGTTCTTTGTAATTATACCCACCATTTAGTCCTATATCAGCTAATGCCTCAAGTGGTCTTTTTCTCATCTCAAATTCATGAACCTTCTTTACCAACAGCACCTCTGGTTGCCTAAAATCCACAGCCATATGTCCAGTTACAACTTCAAGCACTACCACACCAAAACTATAAACATCAGCAGCAGCGGTTGCCTCGCCGGATTCCACATATTCCGGTGACATGTAGCCAAAAATCCCACGAACCGATTTTCTCCTATCAGTGATTACATGATGGCCATGCTCATTCCTTGACAAGAATTCAGCCAGAGCAAAGCTACCTAGTCTTGGATTCATGTCATGTTCAAGAATGATAGCTGAACAGGTTATGTTCCTGTGAATGACTTGTTCATCCCATTCTTCATGCAGATAGAGAAGTGCAGATGCAAGTGATTTCACTATGTTATATCTGTGATGCCATTTGAGGACAGAATTACAACCATTTCTACCATTGTTATGATGGTGAAGTTGGTGACTCAGAATTCTTCTAGCTGAGTAGTAATCATAAACCACAAGCATCTCTCCATGCTCAGTGCACCACCCTCTAAGCTGCACCAAATTCCTGTGGTGAAGTCTTGCCAAGTTCTTTAGTTCATTGGAGAATCTTTGGCGCAATGCAGGGCATGTTTTCAAGCCAAGGCGTTTCACCATGACATGATAGTGTCCATCAAGGATGCCATGGTAGGCAGTTCCGAAGTCTAGCTCTGCCACCCTTTTTGAGTCAGAGAAATTGTCAGTCGCTGAAACAATATCCTTGTATGGTATCTCCCTAGGAGTTTCAACCACAGGAAATGATGGTTGCCTATGCATGATCTTTCTACTCTTAGAAGAGCTCATTCCACTGCTTCTTGGTTCAACTTCAGCAGTTACATAAACAGTGTCTCCTGTGGCTGTGACATACTTGGAATTTAAACAAGTATGATTGCTAATGCTAGCATTCTCTGTTGCTGATCCTGAGCCTGAACTTGAGCCTGTGCCTTTTGTGCTGCTTGGACTAGTTTCTGATGATGAAGACAAAGAGACATACATAGGATGGGAGTGAAATGAAGGGAGTGTTGGCAATTTGTTTGACATGTCAGAAAGTGCTTCCACAATCCACTTCATGCTTGGTCTAAATTGTGGGTCATGGAGTGTGCACAAGAGGCTTATGTGAATCAGGTGCTCCATCTCAAAAACCTTGTTGGAACCATCCATTAGCCTTGCATCCCTAGCATCAACTAGCTTCCTTTCATCACTAAGCCTTCTAACCCAATCAAGCAAGATGATTTGGTCATCTGGGTATGTAAGATCAATAGCTCTCCTTCCAGACACCACCTCCAACACCACAATCCCAAAGCTAAAAACATCAGATTTTGAGGTAGCTATGCTTCTTCTCTGAAAACTTTCAGGGGGCAAGTACCCAATTGTGCCACCAATCCTTGTTGTCTCACTCATCCTGAAATGGTCAAACTTTGTTGAGGCCTTCCTTGCTTCATACTCAAGCTCATGCTCTAGCCACCTTGCCAATCCAAAATCACCCAACCTAGCATTATAATGGGAATCAAGCATGACATTGCTGGCTTTCACATCCCTATGAATGATTTGAGTCTCCAACTGTTCATGCAAATAGTGTAATGCAGCTGCCAAACCTTTCACAATCTTCACACGCCTCAACCAACCAAGAGTCTCTTCCTTCAAGTTCTTCTCAGGCCTACGAAATAGTACCTTGTCAAGACTACTATTAGGCATGTAATCATACACAAGGTAGAGTTGATCCTCAAAAACACACCAACCCCTTAAAGGAACAAGGTTCTTGTGGCGAAGATGAGCCACTGCAGCTAATTCTGCGGCAAAAGTCTTCTCAAATTTGTGTCCTTTCCCTGCTAAGCAACACTTCACAGCAACCACTGTTCCATCACTAGGCATAACAGCCTTGTACACTTTGCCAAACCCTCCACTTCCTAGAACTTCTTCATCAGAGAAACCCCTTGATCCTATGTAAAGCTCAGCATAGCTGAAAATTCTTGGGTTGTTGCTGTCCCTTCCAATCTTTGTAGAGAGTTGCACACCCTCCATGTCATGAAACACACAAGAGTTGTTCTTGATGCGCTTGGTTTTCCTTGCCCCATGTTGGCATAGGTTCATGTTCCACCACTTTGTGTCACACAACCTAGTAAAAGAACCATGAAGGAATGTAACAACTTGGCCTCCACATGCCCCATGAGGGTGCTTTTTGGCCTTTACTTTTTGTGACCCTTCATAGTGATTATTGGCTTGTGGATCATTTGCATGAAGTGGTTCTAGTTCATCAAAATCTGAGGGCATAATAATGCAAAGGTGAGTGAGTTGCATAGCTATGTTGCGTTGTGTTGTGTTTATGAGAATGAATGAATGAATAAATGGGTTTTGTGAAAGCATAAACTATAGGGACATGGATGAGATGATTGCAATGAATGCCAAATGTTAATGGTTGCTAATGGTGTGATGCAAAAGAAATTGAAGTTTGGGTATTTGATGATGATGGCAATGGCATTGTTAATGGCATTATTCAACGCGTTAAGTTAGCACGGTTGAATTGAGTGCAACCATTAGCCAAATTGGAACCTACCACCTTTGATATGACATCGCCAAAATGATTATTCTTTTAATATTCTTTGGTTTATGTCCATTGCGTGCTACCTCAACCCTTTTCTTTGTTTTCATTGAATATCTTAACCTTGATTTCTTTTGGGTTTTAAATTAAGGACATAATCACCATCATTAAACTAGACTCGAATCAATAAAATATGACATAATTAATAAATAAGTATATCACTTAAATATGTTAATTTGAGTTTAATGGATGATATCAGCAACAGAAACTAAAAACAAAAAATTATAAAAAAAAAAATAGCGATAAAAAATACAATATTATTATTTTAGTTATGAAATATTATAATTAACACACAAACAAATACAATATTATGATTATTTTAGCTAATTACTAAGTTATGTATTCAAACTTTACGTTAAATATTTTACATTTACTCGACACATCAAACTGGGTCGAACTGGTTTTCGCAACACTTAATGATGAAGAAACATTTCATGTGCATGAAAAAATATTTCATGTCGAAAGTAAAAGTTAATAAGAGGGAGGAAGAAAAATATCAATGAAAATGATGAAGAAACAGAAAAAACTAACATCAGTTTTGGCAACGGAAGTCACTGTCAGCTCCTTACAAAAAACTGGGAAGCTTTTAAACAAATTAAATAAAAGGAAACAAAGTAAGTGTTTGAATATTTAGATAAAAACTCATAGGTTGTTCACACATCGGTTTCCATGATTGTTTTTCATTGACAATCTTAAGCTTGTTTATGTAGCTTTGGAAAAATCCAGTTATTGTGTTTGCTTCCGTTTTAAATTATGCAATATAGTTAGTTTTTAAAGGTTCCTACAGATAGTAATTATTTAAAAATATAATTTCTCATGGATTATTTTTTGAAATATATTAATAGTTTTTAAGACTAGTTTTAAATAATAATTAAGTAATTAAGCACATGAATTAACTGATACAAATTATTTTAGTTTAATCCAATCTTGAGTTCAAGTTCAACAAATAGTTGTTTTCCTTATAATTATATATTTTTAATAAATTTATATTATAAAAAATAAAATTTAATGTTGCAATATTTTAATACAATTTAATAAGGAAACTAGTATAAAAAGTTAAACGTAAAAAGTAAATTTAATGAGGTTTTATGAAAAAATATTAAAATTTATTGAGAAAAAAACTTTCAATTAATAGTTAAAAAGTAATTTTGAAAAATGCTTGTTAGAATAATATTAAAAAATATTAATAATAACCACGTGTTTAGGCAACCTTATCAAATAAATTATTTTTTGTTAAACAACAATATCATCTAAAATAGAAAAGATTTTATCCAGCTGAAATGCTTTCATAAATACACTTTTAACATTTTTCAATTTACTTAAAATATATACTTGTCAAAGTAAATAGGAGCTCAATGGGTAACCTTCTTTCCTTAAGATTTAGTCATTAAAAGTGACTTCTCTTCAGGATTGTGTGCTACTCTTAACAAAGAAGAAAGATTTTTCGTCTTAAAAGTAAAAGTTAACGAAAAGAAAGAAAGAAAACAGAGAGAAAAAGAAAAAATAACGTTGGTTTTGGCTGCATGTCAACGAAAGTCAGCTTCTTAACATGAATGCTTTTTAACCAAATAAGAGAATAATTTTATTTTGTAAAAATAAAAAATTGATACTGAATATGATATTATAAATAATAATTCCCATTTTTTACCTATTTTTTGTACATAATATCTTAAAATACACCCCAAAATCAAAATAATAACTTTTTATTGTTTCAATTTTACGTTTCATAAAAGAAAAAAAAATTCATGAAAGAAAGAAAAAACCAATGTACGGTGTTTGGATATTTACATAAAAACCGTAGGTTGCTCAGAAGTCAATTTGCATTATTCAGTTTTTCATGGAAAAAATTGAGACAAATTTGGTCACAAAAGAATAAAATTGAACCCATTTTTATCAGTGACGGGTTACTGAACATTCATATAAGGGATCGTTTGTTTCGATGTATCAGTACAACAATATTTATGGGTAATGCTTATGTTATCTGAAGATGAAAATTTTAAAATACATGTAACTTAATTTCTCACTTAATTTACTTAGGTATAAATAAGTTTTTATCATATAATTGACTTAAATTTATAAATTAATCATTACAGATAAAAAATTTATAAATAAATTTCTATACTAATATTTATTGTTGATTCATGTTATTACTTTTTAACTTAAGAACGTTCAATAGTATAAGTATTATTTGGGAACTCCTCACACATGTCAAACAAAAACAACAGAGGCACCACTAAGAGGAACTATGAAGAAGAGGGAGAAGAAAAAGGGTGAAAAAGAGGGGTTTTCAAAGAGAGACTAAAAGGAATTGTGAGGAGGAGGGAAAGAGGATGAAGGAGAAGGAGAAGGAGAAGGAGAAGGGAAAAGGGTGAAAGATTCTAGAAAATGGTGTATGAAGATTTTCTCTTTCAATTATAGCTGCAAAAATTTTGATATACAAGTAAAAAAATAAATTTAAAGAATAACAATGTGAATTAAATAAAAGATAAATATATGTATAAAGATTTATCTACAAAATTTTTATCTTCAAAAATTAATTTACAATTATAAATATCACAAATTTATTTAAATTAATTTTTTATTGTAACACAAATTTTTATACATTATTTACGTATACAGCTTTACTGTTAAAATATAAAAAAAAAATAACATTACATGGCATAATAAATTATATATATATGTTATATCTAACATTTAATATTTATTTTTATTAAATCTATTTTTTATAAGAATCTTCAAATCAAAGATTAAATTAATTTATTTTATATTTTATAAAAAATTATTAATTTAATAATATAAATTTCACGCATAGTGTCATTTCACTTTATATATTAAATGTATGAGGATAAGAAATTTTTTAGCTATAATTTTATAATTTGATTTTTATAAAGAATATTAGTCTGAAATTTTTAAACGTAGATCATAAATAAATTTTTAAAAAATAATTTTGCTCGAATTAAATAAAAAAAAATATTTAAGGAAAGTAGCTTTAGAGCCTATTAGAATATTGGTTTGAAGGTTGGTATTGGGCTTCAGTACATAAGTTTTATTTTAATAATAAAGTCAATTTTGTATGAACCGAACCAAAGAAAAAGTACAATTGTTGGGTTGAATTTAGGCCAACTCCTCTAATTAGTGAAAACCCCATACCCACTTACCTAAAAGCACGTCTAAATCAGAATAGAATCATACCAACCAACCATGGAAAATCTCGAATAAAACCACTCACAACTGGGTTTAACTGCTCATCAAGCATTCATTAAGAAACTGAAAATTTAAATACATGGACAAAAAATTAAAAAAGGTTAAACCTCTTAAAACAAAACATAATATCAATTGACTTTTTAATAAATGTTTTTTTTCAGTTTAATTAATTTTAACATTTAAGAATGAATTTGATTGAGATATTGCATATATTAAAAAAAAGTATTTAACTGAATATATATATATATATATATATATATATATATATATATATATCTTTTTACACTAATATAAGTTTAAAAAATTTTATTTACATTCTATTTATCTGATTCTTTTATTTAACTTATATCTAATAAATTATAATTTATTATTGTTTTACTGTTAAATGTAAGTTAAACGAAAGATAAGAGTTTTTAAATTTACATTACTGCAAGATTTATATATATACACATAAAGATCAAATAAATAAATTTTATATATAAATTATATTTTTTTTAAATATTAATAATATATTCTCTTATGTACAGTTTGTTATTGATTATAGCTATTGAGGGTAAAAATATTTACATGCATCTCATTCTTATTTTAATGAGTCTCGTTTTATTAAGTTAATTTTTAAAAACTTTCAGTTATTAATTAAGAACTTAATATTAACATTTAATTCAATCTTTATAAATAAGTTTAAAAATATAATAATAGTAATTTTTATTAAAAAATAAACTATTTATTATACTTTTATGTTACTCTTATTAAATATTTAAAGTCAACACTAAAATTTAAGATTTACAAAATTGTAAAATTAAATAAGACCTACTCCTTTTTAATTGGACATATATCGGTTAGGTTATCAAATCGGACAACCTAAAAAAATATTAGAAGAAACAATTAGTATTAGTTAAATCAATCAAAATTGGGTGAGTTAGTGCAACAAACTATTTTGTAATTTTTTTTAAATTGATTTAAAATCATTTTTAAATAAATAAAGAATCATATTTAATATTTACATGTGAACTATTTAACTATTTATGATTTAATTTCTTATAAATTGATATATATACTAGCTTATAAGCATTGGCTATAACCAACTTCAACTCTGAAATTCCAAATGTTAGTCACAATCGCACCTCACTAATTAAGAATTTGGAAGAATTGAATCAAACCCGATTCACATACTCTTTGCTCAAACATTCCAATTCCTTGTATATATTTGGTCTCTCCATAATTCAAGAGTTCCATACAAAATTAATTAATCAACATTATGATGGAACTTTTCCATTTCACTGTTGAAAATATGCACATAATTTCAAATGAAGGAACTATGTTCTTTAAAGGCTGTAGAAAGGTAAGAAACATTAGAATATGTTTGTTTCCCTTTTTAAAGAGGGTTTTATGTTTTTAAAAATAAAATACAGTACAAATTTGCATTATATTTTATTTTTAAAAAACATAAAACTCTTTTGAAAAAACA